GCCTCCAGATGTGAGCCTCCAGATGTGAGCCTCCAGATGTGAGCCTCGGGAGTCCTCCTCAGCCACTCCTCACCTTTTCCAGTTTTAATCTTTATTAATTTTTAACGCTCTTGCTGAACCCAGAGCTCACCAGTTTAGCCAGCATGAGCCCCAGGGATCCTCCTGTCTCTGCCTCCCCAGTGCTGGGATTCTAGGCACACACTGCCATACCCTGCTTTTTATGTGGGTTCCAGGGTTCCTCATGCTTGCACGGTTTACTCCCAGAGCCGCTTCTGCAGCCCCTGTGTTTATGTCTCTATTAAGAGCCTGCAGGGGATGAGCCAAGCAGACCTCATCAAATCTCAAGGCCTCTGATTTACAGTCATCCTGATAGAGGCTGGGTTAAAGTTTATCCTCTCAGATCTTCAAGAAAGGCTCTGCTAAGCAAATTAATCCTGTCAACAAGATTGCTGGTGCCTGCCAATGCACTTTCCAAAGCACAGGATGTTTTCAACTGCATCAAATGGGGCTGGGATTGGGGCTACAAATTCTCCTTGGGGCTTGTCCAGGGTGTGATCAATATTCACCTTGAAGAGAGTTCTAAACGGTACTACTTGTCTCCTTCCCATCTCTTGAGTTTTCCTAGGCCCGTACTTGCTGGCTTTGGAAGTAATCAAATACCCGCCTCCCCCTCCCATTTGATTGGAAAGTCACTTAAATTTTACATAGTCAGCCAAGCCTTCCCAGACGTCCGTCCAAATGGTAATGAAATGAAATGGACGGTCCTGTCATGATGGAGAGCTTTCCAGGCCACTGAACTCTGCTGGTAAAGAACTCAGCCTTTTAAGTTGGACTGTAACACAGACAGATCCCGCCACTGAGCGGCTGGAGTGCACCCTGAGTCTAGACACCTACGTGCATGGAGAGCTGTCCTTCAAATGTTCTTAGGGTAAATTCTGAGAGGTGCCTCCGAGCTTAGCATCCAGTTGTCACTGAGGGGAGGAAGAAGGAACAGGAGCTTAGCCTCAGTCCCCTCCCTCGTACCACTTCAGGGAACATCACCACCCTCATTTGCACAGGAAGCTGGGGTTCTGACCCCATTAGATGCGTTATCATGGTATGACCAAGCAGTGCCTTGCTGCAGACCCCACATGACAGAAGACTGCCCTCTGTTCTATGGCACTGTGCCCATGTGATTAAGGGGGACATTAGGAGTCAGTGAGATAGCCCAGTAGGTAAAGGTGCTTGCTGCCACACCTGCTAATCTGAGTTCAGTCTCCAGAACTCACATGGTGGAAGGGGAGAAGCAACTCTTCCAAGTTTTCCTCTGACCTTCACACATGTACGTGGCTCTTATGCTGTAGGTGTATGGGTGCATTCACGCATGTGTGCGCGTGTGCGTGCGCGCACACACACACACACACACGTTAAAGAGAGAACACTAAAGATGGGGACGAAGAGAGGGCTATATGGTGACATGTAGCAAGTTGAAGATTTCCATCCTGGAGGGAGGCTCCTTAAGAACCTGAAGAAAACAAGTCATAAATCTCAGGAAGATCCTGAAACTTACAAGACCCACAACACCCCTACGTTCCCATAGTTATGTACAAGTGGGAACTGCAGGGGACTGCTGTCAGGGAGCTCCACTGTTGCAGCTCACACCGTGTGTCTTTGAGTTACCTATGACCTAGTAAATCACCCCTTGCCCCCTCTCGGAATGGCACCCTGATAAACTCAACAGCTCACTAAGTTGGACTTGTCAGATCCTCTCTCTGGAGGGAGGAGACATATGTTCACATCTCCCCAGAGAAGTCACACAACAGCTGGACAAGAGTGTGGGTAAAGGCTGGAGAAGGGAAAACCACAGGACATGAGGCAAGGAGGCATCTGCCTGGCTATAATCAACACCTTCCCCCCAGAAGATGCTACCCACCTCAGAGATGTCCCCAGAAACGTCTTTGCAGTTCATCACTTAACAATGCATTGCTTGAAAACCACTTAGCAGCTCACTGGGCTGCTCCCTGCCTTGGGAAAGCATATGCCAGTCTCTCTGTTTGTTATATTTAGCTTTATTGTGTAAACTGCTGCTTAATTCACATCCGTCTCTTGGTTGAATTCTTTCCTTCTTTGAGGACAAGAACTAAGAGGTACTCCCACAACTGAAGTGTCTTTTTAGTCTGCTGATAAAGAGACTTGAGGCTCAAGACGGTTCAAGTCCAATGTTGTAGTGGGGTTAGGACAAGCCTTTCAGACTTTGACCGTTTGGAAAGGATCTTTAGCAGTAGCTACAAGGGACAGAGTATCTGGGGTGGCAGACTGGCATCTGTCTCCTTAAAGAGATGGTACTTTTGTTCTCAAATAAAAAAAACAACTAGTCCTTTCTGGATGTCCCAGTGCCCTTTATGTCTGGTTAGTTCCCCACAGAGACCTGAAAGGAGCAGGCATCTGGAGGCCTGAACTGCCAGCCAGGCCCAGAGCCAAGAATCAGCACCAAGATGATCCCCTCCTCCAGGCTCTCTGTGGCATTGGTTGTCCTGTGACATCAACACAAGACCGTTAAGGAAGCAGTATCACAGCTAGGCCCAGTGGCACAGGCCTGTCACCCAAGCTACCTGGGAGGCTGAGGCAGAGGGATTGTTTACGGCCTGTCTAGGTGATCTGGTGAGCTCCTGTTTCAAACCCAAAGTTTAAAAAGAGCTGAGGAGTCGTTCAGGGGGAGGAGGCTTGCCTGGCTCATGAGAGCAGCTAAGTTCAGGCCTCTGTGCTGGGGTAGGAAGAGGGAACCAGGAATCACACAAATAACTGCAGAAGAAAACGACACAAAGCGCCTTGTGACAGTTCTGCAGAGAGTAACTACTCCGAACAAAAGTCCCCCAGTGGATGTCAGCCCCACGACAAACACCCTCCACCGACCCTGAGCCTTTAGGCTTTATTGTCTAGAACAGACATTGGTAGCTATTACGTCTTTTAACCCAGGCATCAGGAACGCAAACTCAGAAGTGTTCCATCAAACGAAGATGCACACTGTGACGGGCTAGGAACCCAGGAGTTCTGGAGCACATCCCTTCATCTGCTCTGCTAGCTCAGCTGCCGCGGCTTGCCCCATCTGAACTCCACTCCAGGCAGGCCCACTCTGCTCTGTGCTGCTCCCCCATGAGCAACAGAAGCCACAGCTAATTGGTTCCTAGGCCACCAGCTCTGCATTCATCACCCAGGCCCCTCAAGAGCTTCCAGACTGCCACACCATGGACTTGTCTGGGCCCAGACGGAGACTTTGTCCCCCCTTTATTTGACAACCGCTGTTAATTGGAAAATTACTTCTAAATTCATCTTTCGAAAACAACTTAAGTCCAGACTAATTGCTGAAGGGCAGTTTTGCCGACAGTGTCCTGACTAATTGCTGGCAAGAAGCCAGAGACAGTTCCTAGGAAGGAAGCAGGCCTGCTAGAAGGTTCTAGAGTGGATCAAAGGTGTATGGGAGGACATTAGCAATAGAGGCCAGTGACCTCTACCTTTGTGTCTGTTCACAGAGGCTTTGGAACATCCAGTATCATACAGACCACCAGCCAGTGTCTGGGAGGCTACGCTAGATATCACGTGTGTTGCTGTGTGGTTGCAGGATACTCCTGGGGTCCTTGACATTTGAATTCTTAGTCTGCTCCATCGATGAATGTCAGTCAGACACCGTTTCAGGCTGGGCAGGGTGGGGATGAGAAGACGACTGGGCCATGTCCTCTTGAGTCTGAATCCCCAGGGAAGCTAAGAAGTCAGGCCAAAGAGACACACAGCACAGATGTAGCAGAGATCCTGACATGGGGATCAGGTGTCCCCGGCCACCCTCTGATGGAAGGTTAGTTCCAGAACTGAGCAAGGAAAAGGGCTAGAAGGCTGCAGTGGAAGAGGGATAACCCCAAGACCCATCAGCTGCAGAACAGGCAATGGGAAAGGGAGACTTGACATCTGACCTCCTCACAGGTCAGATTTGCAAATCTAACATGCAAAAAATGACTTCCTTCACATCAGCCTTGACTGTGTCAAACAACGAAGACCCTGAACTCACCACACAGCCGAGGCTGGCAGCAAAGTTTCCCTCAGAAAAGTTTTAAAGTGTGTGTGTGTGCGTGTGTGTCTCTGTGTGTGTCTGTGTGTCTCTCTGTGTGTCACTGTGTGTGTCTGTGTGTGCGTTTGTGTGTGTGTGTGTGTCTCTGTGTGTGTGTACACAAGTGCAGATGCTTGCAGAGTCCAGAAGAGGACATCAGATCCCCTGGTACAGGACTTGTAGACTGTTATAAGCCCTCCAGTATGGATGCTCAGATCTTCTGCAAGAGCAGAGCATACTCTTAGCCACTGAGCCATCTCTTCTACTCAAAGAAGTTTCTAAAATGTCCCTGTGGCTTACATTCCTCCAGTGTCTCCCTGACAAACCCAAGGTCTTTCCTAAGGTTCATGTCCAGCTGCAGGAGCGAAGTCTTGTGTCTTCTTCAACCTCTCTCAGGCTCTGACTATCGGAAGGACACAGGGGACCCTCAAGCAGCCCAGGCCGACATGAGAGGGAGGTTTTCAGGGTTCCTTGAAATAGCTTTAGAGGTCGGCTAATGAAAAGAGAAGTGGTTGTCCAAGGAGTAAAGATATCTCTCTCTCCCTAACTCCCACCACATACATACATTCACACACACACACACACACACACACACACACGAATATCTGGCCTTGAGTACTGGATAATGGTGTACAACCAGTTGTGATTATAATATTGTAATTATTATAAGAGACTTATAATATAATGTTATATTTATAATAGAATAGACTATTTCTTATGAGAGGCTGGGGAGATGGCTCAATCGAAAAAAATGCTTGCCATGCAAGTGGGAAACCCTGAGTTCAAACCCACAGCCACTTTTTTTTTTTTTTTGATTTTTCAAAACAGGGTTTCTCTGTATCTTTGGCGCCTGTCCTGGAACTAGCTCTTGTAGACCAGGCTGGCCTCGAACTCACAGAGATTCGCCTGCCTCTGACTCCCAAGTGCTGGGATTAAAGGCGTGCACCACCACTGCCTGGCCCCACAACCACATTTAAAAAGCCAGGCACAGTGGCATCCTAGGAATCTCAGCATAGAGTAGGGTTCTGTGGTTTTCCCAGCCTGGACTACTTCCAAATCAGCAGGAATCTTATGTGGAGACTGTTTCTGACTGAGGACATCCCCACCACGATCTGTCCTACACACACACACACACACACACACACACACACACACACGTGTGTATGCCCCTCAGAGGAACACAGCCCACCATCTAGTCCATGGAACTGAAATTACCAGAGACTATGTTGCTGTTCCTGTCTCCAACTTTGAGCTTTTCTTGGGAGTGGGCAGTTAGTGGCACATGCCCTGGGTCCTTCAAGTCAGGGCCGACCAAGGTGGGCTGAAATCACAAAGACCAGAGCGTTTCAGACAAGTGGATAGGAGAGGGCTGGGTGTTGAGAACACCACCCACAGCCCTGCACCAGGACGCAGCTCTGAGGTCACGCTAGGTTGTGTCCAGGTCATGCCATGTGCTACCCAGACTCCAGACCTTGACCACACTATGCCCATCCCATACCCCCAGGGGATAAACCAAGGAAGCAGAGCCCAGTATCCACTTGATAGGCTGCAGAGCCCTGCACAGTGTTAATGATTATGGTTTCCAGAACATTCCCTTGGGAAAAGCGACAATTTAATGAATGACTGAAGTTCTTCCGAGTCCCACCACTCGACGTCTTCCAACTCTTCTTGTTCTGAGACCTAAAAAGAAAAAAACCAAGGGTCACTGGGCAGGTATCCAGAACGGAACGGAGGTCACTCACCGGCTCACACCAGATCTGCTACACACATCTCTTTTGCTTGGTAGGCAAAAAAAAAAAAAAAAAAAAAAAAGGACATTGTTTGAAATTTTTGCCAGCTTTAAACTGGAGTGACTTGTGTACCCAGAAAGCACCTAAAGAACACCTCTCCTGCTGCCATCTACTGAACCTGAGAACAAGGTTTGCCCTGTGGAAGGCCCTGTCCCTCTCCAATCAAAGGCAATGGCCTACCTGGTCCCTTTAGGGAAGCTAATTGAAACCTTTATCTTAGCCCCCATCTGCAATGAAAAGGGGACCAGACCAGAGGGAACCCAGAGCTCCTCTACCTGTGTGAGTGGGCTTCTCTACAGACACCTTGGGCTCCAGCCTTGAAATGACATCTCAGAGATGTCTGTGCCGTCTGCCGAAACGTGGCCCTGGTGACTGTGTGGAGTGGAAGGACTTTGGAGCAAGTCTTCTCAGGATTAAGCTTGGCACTGTCTCTAGCAGCACCGGCATACGCCGGAGTTAAGAGTACAGGTGCCCCAGGCCCTCAAGTCCTGATAAGATAGGTGCAGGCCTCCGCAGGAGGCTGTGGAGACACCCAGTGTTCTTCCTCAGATCCCGGTAGGGTCCTGGGAGGATTCAGTTCTTGTGCCCTTCACTGGGCTGAGGAGGGCAATGGAGGTGAGCGGTGCAGGGCAGCATATGGCACACTTTGGGGGACTGTTCTGAATTCTGACTGCACAGAAGCGTGTGTGTACATGCACACACCTCCAGTACTCCCCCAAGCCTGTGTGTGCAGCAGAGGGCCATTGTGTTGGAAGTCAAGCAGAGCAGAGAGGGAGAGAGAGAGAGAGAGAGAGAGAGAGAGAGAGAGAGAGAGAGAGAGAGAATGATGAGTTCCTCTACTCCTCTTTGTCTTTTGAAACAGGGTCTCCTGTAGCCCAGCCTGGCCTGGGACTCACTATGTACCAGAGGAAAACCTTGAACTTCAGATCCTCTTGTCTCCGCCTCCTGAGTGCTGAGTGCTAGGATTGCAGGTGTGTGCTGCCACATCTGGCTTGCACAGTGCTAGCAACGATAGCCAGGGATTTGTGCAAGCTAAGCAAACACTTTAGTAACTGAGCCACATCCCCATGTCCACCTTCTCTCTAACACATAGCAGTACAGCTCTCCGAAATCTCCACGAGGGTCTCCTCACGCCTGCCAGGAGCTCCTCGGGGCCTTTCCTGAATTGGGATAATCACACTGTCAGGAAAAGTGTAAAGGCGAGGGGCAGTGAGCCACCTGTCTCCTTGAGAGGCATGGTCAGACTCAACCAACGCAGAGCTAGTTCCCATGGCCTCTCCACCTCCCACAACCCCGTGGGCTTCCAGCTTCCTGGCTACTGTCTGCTTGTTCTTTCTTTTCCCAACTTCCTGGCAAGGGTCTTGAAGGAGCTCTAGTGAGCCCAAGCATGGCAAACACAGCTCTGGCAGGCCTTGCCCTTCCCTTCCATTCTCTCTGCCTTGCTAAAAACCATTAGATTACATTCCTAATGCCAGCCACCAAGGCCTATTTCCTTATTTGGCCACTTCTTCCTCCAGAGACTGACAACCAAGGCCCAGCCATCAAAGTATTGAAGTCCAGCAATCAAAAACCCCCTAACAAGCCCAGTTATAGTTAAACACCTCATCCTAACAAGGAGTTTGCCCCTTTGCCTTTATAAACTGCCGTTTGCCTGTGGCCACCTCTGTCTTCTCACTGTCATTGTCCCCCAACCGACAAATACCTCTCCCCCCTCTCCCTTGTTCCTTTCCCCTTCTTCCTCTTCCTCTGTCTCCTGTCTTTGTCTCTTATCCCCCGCTCTCTGTCCCTCTGGGGAAAATAAATCTCTTTTGTGCTGAGAATTTGGTCTTGTGAGTCTTGAACCGATACTGGTTCCTTTAGGTCTCATAAGTGAAAGCAGACAAAAGGCTATCTGCTGTCAGAGAGAATATTGTCCCACAACCCCTTTTCCACCTGAATGTATCCTATGCAAGAGGTCAGTTCTCTTTCTCCTTCCCAGACAGGAGCTTGGGATTCTCCTCTACAACTGACTTTGGAACTCATGTCTATAAAAAGCCAAGGGTGCTTTCAAGAGTTAGAAGATGACTCAGTGGTTAAGATACTGGCTGCTCTTCCAAAGGATCTGAGTCGATTCCCAGAGTCCACATGGTTGCTTGTAACTATTTCCATGGGCTCCCCTGCCCTCTTCTGGCCTCCATGGGCAAGCACACACATGCTAACAGACACATGTGCCGGCATCCATGAGATCCCCTGCCCTCTTCTGGCCTCCATGGGCAGCACACACATGGTACACAGACACATGTGCAGGCAAAACACTCAAACACATTTTTTAAAAGTTGAGTGTTTTTTGTTTTTTTTTTTTTAGACAGAGGGAACTTTCAGCAGGAGAGGTGTGCCAGGAACATGCTGGCAGCTTCTCCCTGGGAACCGGATTTCACACTGTTTGATTACGGTATACAGTCTTGTAACTTTTACAAGTCTGGCAGTTAAGATGCATATTACATTCAACTAATATAATATGCCCGACTAAGAGCACAGATAAGCCAGACCACCAGTGAGTCCTGGTAAATACAGGCCTGAGAGCCAGGCTACGCTGGTGGAGGAGTTCACTGGTAGTGAGCACCACTGTACTACATGCCAACTCCCAGGCTTGATCCTCAGTACTGAGGGGCTGGGGCGGGAAAAGCCACTCGGGACCAGGCTAAATGACTGCAGAGGGCTGTGTCCCCGAGCTGGGTGTCCACCTGTGATCCTAGCCTGAGGGAGGCTGGGGCAGAAGGGTTTGAGGTAGAGAGCAGACTGGACTCCAAAGCAAGGTCCTGTCTCAAAACAAAACAAAACGAAACAGAAAAGGCGATTGCATCACCCGTGCCCGGGCCAGCTCTCTCAGCAAACGTCTGAGGGCCCAGTACAGCAGGGGCACCCATGTCACCCAGATGTTACTGCCAGCAGAGCAGGAAAATTCCACTGTTTCGAAAATGCTGCTTGCTGTCCCTGAAACACGGAAGCTACCCACAACAGAACAGGGGTTTCAACTTGACTTCAAGGGTGTTTTGAGACGGCCTTGGGAAGAGACAGGTGGTCAGAGAAGAGTCAGTCTTGATACTTTGGGGACCAGACCTTGCCATGGTAGAAGGAAAATCTGGTTCAGGACAGCAGGCCTGAGGGCTGCAGGAGAAACTAGGGTCCACGTGGAAGAGCAGGGCTGACCATGTGGACAATCATGGACTCCAAAGGGAGAAGGGAACTCCTTCGGCTCCCTTGAGTCCTGAAGACTGCTAGGGGGCTCTGCCTAGGGTATGACCAGAAGGTGGAGGTGTGGCATGGTGCTGGCCAGATCCAGGCAAGAGCTGAGGAGTTAGGATCAGGGCCTCAGACTTGGAGAGATTTTGTGAGGTCGGTCCATTGCTGCTGTAGAGAAAGAAGAGTCTCTAAAGTATTTTCCAGCAGCATCTAGAAGCGTCTACAAGGATCTTTACCAACTACAGTAGAAGACTGAAGAAGGCGAGATTTGGGGTGTGGTGGGGTGGGGGTGAAAAGCTCTGCTCTGGACAGGTTTATACATTAGAGGATTTGAACAAGCCAAGGAGTTTCGGAGTTCCAACAGAAGGCACCAACCTGGTTCACTGAAAGTACAGAGGTGCTGAGATACCCAAGGAAAATGCTGTGGAGGCTAATCCAAGGAACAAACCACAGGCCTGGTGCTGGGAGACTGGGAAGGAAAGCAGAAAGCGGGTGGAAGACTGAGATAGCCAAAAGGAGAGAACCAGGGGCATCAGGAGCAGGTGGGACACTGAGATAGCCTCAAGTAGAGAACCAGGGGCATCAGGAGCAGGTGGGAGACTGAGATAGCCCCATAGAGAGAACCAGGGATATCTGACTTTCAGATGCAAGTTATACATGTGTCTTCCTGCTCAGATTGCGTGCTCTGGGGGACACACACACGCCCTCTCCCAGATCTGGACACCAGCATTATAGAGTGGTGAGCAGGGCTGCAGCCTTTCTACAGGTTTTGGGGGCGCTCCCTTCCTTTGCCTCTGTAAAAAGTAGTTTCTGGACTCCTCCTCTTCCTTGCTCCCAGCCTATCCCTCTATCCCCAAAGCCCAGAGCATATTACCCTTAAATCTCTTTCTCCATTGCCTTGGCTACATCTCCTTCTGACCACGACCACATCCCCACACCCCCACACCCCTACCCCACCTCCCTCACAACGTCTTCCCAATGACATCAGATCAGTTCAGGATAGTTTCATCTCAATGTCCTGACAGCACACCCCAGTCTATGCAAAGGAGAATGGAGACACACTCAGCATTCAACACGAGGCCCTTGAGTACCCCACTACCGGAGCTGTCTACCAGGTATGGTCTGGAGACCCCTTTTTAAGCTGTTTGTCATCGGAGTCCATTAGACTGAAGGTTAACAAAACGTTCCCTCGTTTACAAGGTGTTTCTCCAACTGTCAGCAGGATAACAGAGCCTTTACCAATAAAGTTCTGGAGTGTTCTGGAATCCAAGGACACTTTTATATAACAGCCCCTTTCATGCCCCGCCTCTGTGACTCATGATCTTTCAGGTTCTGAGGATCCTTTGCCTCGCTTGTCCCCAAACTCCCCATGAGCAGCCAAGTCCAAGGCAGGGCCGAGCCGCTCGTGAAGTCAGTACATTCCATGTCCATGGCAAAGTTCAAAGTATAACGGCGGGTATATAAACAAAGCTTGCCCAACAGGCCACTGACACGTGCCCACACAGACACTCCCGGGCCACCTACTGGCTGAAATCGGAGTGACCGCGGGAACATTTTGAACAAAAGCTATTTACTTTATGGTATAAACTATCTATCTTCAACACTTAGAAGGACCAAATTTTCCACGGAAATTTAAATTAAAAGAATAATCTACACACCCATGGCTAA